TATTCATCCAATCTATCTTATCTAGATAGATCTGTAGAGATAATAATATACATCAAAAACCAAGCCATAGCAAGATAGACGATCAGTGAACACAGAGATGGCAACAAAAAGGAAACCAATTACCCATAGAAGAATAAATTAATTAAAAGAAAAAAATTAATTAAAAAAAAATTTACAGGAAAACCTGTGATTTTTGATCTCTAGACATATCCTTCAGTCAGGACCGATGGTGTACCATGGTCTGGCTCCTGAGTCTGTCCTTTGTACTCCCTCTGTTCTGCTGCACGGTTGCTCTGCCACATGTTGTGGTTTGACTTGGTGTCTCAGTGTCAGTCTGGGCCAGTCCCAACACTGAGTCTCCAGTGTTGTCCCCCTTAAAACCCGGGGCCATCAAGGGACGGCATGTCTCGTGGTGGGATCAGCCATATTGTCCACTCTGTCCATTGGCTGTTCAGAGCGGGGATGTCATCCTCCAGGCCTGGTGGGTCAGGATGTGCTCCACTCTCTCTTCCTCCCCCTATGTGCTCCCATTTGCTCTGATCAGACATGCCCCTCTCTCCTAGCTGCAGCTTCATTGCCGTCCTCTCAAATAGATTCTTCTGGGGAGAGGGGCTGTTGTCCACGCATGGGGGCTGAGCCCTCAGGCCCCTTCACTGGCTCCCCACTCCTTGCCAACAAGTTGCATTCGTCTGGCACTGGTTTTAAATCTGGTACCTCTTTCCCTGTGGAGACACAAACAATATCCTTTCCTTGGGTGGCCAGTGCCCTATTCCCCCATCACATATCCTTTTTTGGGAACAAAACATTCTTACGAAGGCACTTTGGGATAATAGACTAGATTGTGCAGTGGGAGCTTTTTGAAATTAGGAACCATTTTCATTTCTAATTTCAGTGCATGAGTGGGAGGCCATTGATGGTGCAAACGATTAAACATTGGCCCATAAATGAATTTTGTGTGTCTGTTCCACTAGAACATATGGCTTGTGATAGCCTTCCAAAAGGTTATTTCCTTGAGAACCCTGTGGTATAGTTTTATTCTGTGGGTTGGAATAGACGCTGACAACTAACAACAGTAGAGTAGTCAGTCACTGTTAGCAATACTAATGTAAAATCTCATTATTGGCTTGCTTTTATTTGCTGTTTATGTTAGGCTTATTTTTTTCCCAATGTGTGTCCTCCCCCACAGTTTTATTTCCATATGATTACATGTCATAACCTGGTAGTTCGAGGGCAGTAAGGAGGATTTTGCTTTCGTCATTACAATCCATTTTAGAACATTTTTTTCATTCTTGCATTCATCTTTATTAGTGTCCCATTTCTCCCCAACCTTTCTGTTAGAACCTGCACTTTTTGTTTTAGTTACTTAAAGATAAAGCTGTTGAGTCACACATTAGCTTTATTATTCAATTTCAAGGATACATATATGGGTTTTGTTTAATTGAGGTGAGGCTGGAATTTTTTTTTTTAAATCATTTTATTAGGGGCTCATCACAATCCATACATAACAAATATTTGTTCAAGTATGTGTTCTTAACTAATTCCAAGTCATTTTTCCCTTTTGAAGACCCTCACCAAAGAACATCAAGACACCAACCCCGGAAAGCTGGAACACAGTGCCAGGGAAGAAGATGAGAAAGCCTTCCACATCTGGACAAAATGTTCATTCTGGTAGGAACTCATCAACTTACTATTTGGGTACGGGTTTTGGTCCTTGGTTTGCTTATAATCGGAAGATTATGAGATCTTTTCGGGTTTTCTCCACAGACATGGATTACAGAGGGCCAAAGAACACAAGCAAGCAAATAAAAACCCCATCAGCACTACCTCCTCGATTACAGCATCCTTCGGGAGTAAGACAGCATGCATTTGCTGGTCATTCTTCAGGGTCCCAGTCTCAGAAATCCTCCAGTGAGCACAAAAATCTTAGCAAGACACCTTCACAGATCACTAGGTAACCTTTGATGAAACAAAAGTGTACATTACAGCTGTTAATTTTATTTGGTATAGTATATATTTTTGAACAGTTGTGATACAGTTATCTGAAGCATATATATCATAAATATTATTGATGAAGCATCATCACACAAGGATTTCATTTATTTCACCAGATTAAAATAATTTTGTAGGGTTAGAAGCTTCCAGTTTTTAATTAGTTCTTTTAAATGGTTTGGTACATCTTCTCCTTTCCAACTCTTATTGTTGCACTTAATAATATTCTCCTGTCAAGTGAAATGTAATATTTGCTAGTTGCCATAAAGTCCTCTCTGAATCAAGACCTTACGCATAACAGACTGATACATTTCCTGGTCCTGTGTCAATGTCTGCTGTGGCTGCATTTGTGCTGCCACTATACCAACCCGAGGTATCCTTTTCTAGCGATTAATTAGTCTTTCCTTAGATGTCAGAAGTACAGTATCTGGAGCCATTTCTTGTATTTCTTCCGAGACCGATTTGTTCATTCTCTGTCATATTGTAATACGTTCTACCTATACTCTCTGCCACCACCACAGTTGAGAGGCTTGGCTCAGGAACACCTTAATCACCAGTGACATCTTGCTTTTTAACTCTTTAAGGAGGTCTTTTCAGTATGTCACTTGGTGTTTTGATTGCTGTTCCCACAGATGTTTATGGCTTATCCAGGTAGGATGATAATCCTTAATAACTTTATATAGTTTTCTTCATTTATTAAGATTTTAATTTTACCAGATAGGAGGACTTTGCTTTTCTCAAGTTCAGGTATATCCATACTGAAAGCTGTAATCTTTTACCTTTATCAGTCGTTCAAATCATCTTCATTTCAAAAGTAAGATTTCATCTAAATTCTGAATTCCAGTTTGCATTCTTAGTTCTGGAAAGGTTCCCCTTTCGTTAAGAACTTAAGTCAACCAAAATTACTGGTTCACTTTGTTGTATAGTACTTTGGGGCACAAGTTTTAGGTAAATCTGATTTATAATAAGAGCATAAATATTGTAACCGTATTTACAGATAGGTGTACTTCAGTGTCACAATTCCCCTGCGATGTATGGATTTTCATTTTGTTTCTAATTTGTCCTTCCACTGAAATTAAAGCCTTTTGGTGTTGCTTTATTTGAGAGGGAATGACAACATTGAGATTGTCTTGTTCATTAATACTGCTTTTCTTCTTTTTTTTTCTTTTAATCATTTTATTAGGGGCTCATACAACTCTTACCA